CCAAATCATGGTACAAAATTAAACTTTGTTTGATTCAACAAAAAAATTATTATTGGGGTTCTTTGAAATGCTGAATCTAACCATGTATTGAGAGATTTTGGATTGTGGGCTCCTTTATCAAATTGGTCCACATTGAGGTCCAAAGGGTCTTAAATCAAACTTTTGTCTGATTTCATCAAAAGTTGAATTCTTTGGGTTCTTTGATATGCTGATTCTAATATGTACTTAGATTTTTGATACTGGACCATAATAGGTATTTAAATGTCCAATTTCAAGTATTTCAGTTCTTAAACCACATTTATTTTGTGTCACAAACCTATGCTGAGTCAAATATTCAATCACAATCCAAATTCAGAGCTGTTTTAATCTTAAATGTAGTGTCCATACTTGCTCAACTGTTCAGGGTTCGACCTCTGCAGGAAAATCCTGTTTGCTGTCACTCTGACAGCTTCTTGTTCTAGTTTCCAGACAATAACTTGTGTTCAAGTGTATGGATCTCCCTGAAATCGTACTGCAAAGTACCATACTACAAAGGGAAGGCTGGGATTGATTTTGGGGGTAATTGCCTCAAAATATTAGGAATTAGGGGCAAAAAAAGGCAAAAAACAAGCATTTTTTCTAGTTTCAGGACAATAACTTGTGTGTAAGTGTATGGATCTTTATGAAATTGTTCTACAAGGTTCCATATCACAAAGGGAAAGCTGGGTTTGAGTTTGGGGGTAATTGCCTTAAACGTTTAGGAACTTGGGGCCAAAAAAACAAGCATTTCTACAGTTTCCAGACAATAACTTGTGTTCAAGTGTATGGATCTCTCTGACATTTTACTGCAAGGTACCATACCACAAAGGGAAGGCTGGGATTGAGTTTGGGGGTGATGAATCATAAGGGGTTTCAAAAAATTGGGGGGGGGGGTTCTTTTTTTTTTTCCTTTTTTCCTTTTTTTTTTCTTTAAAATTTTCCATTTAAAGTTGGTTATTTTCTATTTATATATTAAAGCAAATAATAATGATATGGTTTGATTTCATCACAAAATTGAAATATTGGGGTTCTTTGATATGCTGAATTTAACCATGTATTTAGATTCTTAATTTTTGGTCCCTTTTTCAAATTAGTCTACATTAAGGTCCAAAGGGTCCAAAAAGAAACTAAGTTTGATTTTAACAAAAATTTAATTCTTGGGGTTCTTTGATATGCTGAATCTAATCGTGTATGTATTTAGATTTTAGATATTGGACCATAATAGGTAAATAAAAATTTTTTAAGTTCTTTGACCACATTCATTCTGTGTCAGAAACCTATGCTGTGTCAAATATTTAATCACAATCCAAATTCAGAGCTGTATCAAGCTTGAATGTTGTGTCCATACTTGCCCCAAATGTTCAAAAACTTATACACAACCGTTCTAGAGTTATGCGTGTTTACAAATAGAAAAATTGCTGAATTTTTAGTTTCTGTTCTCTACTTAAGTTAGCCTCAACTAAATGTTATGAGACTTACACACAACGCTTATTACAACAAAACTCAGATCAAGTTCAAATTTGGGTAGCGTCACTTTTACCGTTCTTCAGTTATGTCCCTTTATAACTATATGATATGCAAGCGGGGGCATCATCTGTGTCCTCATGTGGACACTATCAACATTTATTTACAACAATTGCCTGTGTGAATTTGACATATATCTAAATGAATTTTTACTTGTATTGCAATTTTTTTAATGTGGAAAACAGTTCATCAGCATGATCAGGTTCAAGTCTTATATTTTTAATCATCACTGGAATTTAAATTTTCAGAATTAGCTCCCCAGATGTAAGTGGAAGTGAAGTTATACATGTTATATGTTTCAATGAAATGAATGACTTGATTAGATATACATGTAGAGGAGACCCTATAGCTACAGTACATAACATGTAACTGGTATGTATTTGTTACAGTATTTGCTGTCAAAATTGTATAAAAAAAATGCCGAATCCTGTGCAAATTTAAAAAGGAGTCCATGCAAACTGACAAAATAAGAAAACACTATCAATCAACAGATCAAGGGAAAAGTTAATCTGATATATATACATGTATGGAATAGGCATGTAGTTAGATTTGTTTACCCATTTTCAGTCCATGTAAATTTATGAGAATAGAATTTTATATTCTGGATTTCCTAAGATTTCAATTCTTATTTCATATTAATATTCCCATGCGTTATGCTTGTAGTTTGAGGAAAATTATCAAAATAGCTTGACCAAGATTAAACAATTACTGCCATCATGAATTAGGCCATGTTTGTCTTGTCTGGGCAGGGTTCATCTGACCATGACCTGATATTCATGGTTCATTAGTCAATAATAAGTTTCATATTTTGGTCTGTTTGCAGAGGCGGATTTAGGGGGGCAGGGGGCCCAGGCCCCCCCTTTTCTGGGAAAAATTTGGTTGATTATATAGGGAATCACTGAAGCTTGACCAGAGCGGGACCCTCCTCAGGCAGTCAGTGGGCCCCCACTTATGAAAATTTCTGGATCCTCCACTGTGTTTGTTGTATACTATACAAGCTATAATCAATTAACAGATCAGCTATATTTGGGATAGGCAATGATAGTAAGGTGCACATGTCTGTCTGGCTTGGTTTTTCTGACCTTGGCATTATTTGCTTGACAGTATTTCTTTCATGGATCATTGGTTATGTTAAGTTTATATATCATACTTATAGTATAATTATATAATTTGTAATGTTAACATGGCAAAGTTCAACCATAATGAACCGCCACACCTCCGTTGCAGAGGTAATTAAAAAAATGTACAGTCTGCTAGATTATCAATTTTCAGAGCATTTGGAGTTTTGATTTATACCCCTATGGAAGCTAATCACAAATTTCTTAACTGGAAAAGTATCAGGTAACCAGACGTTTCCAGAATGCATAGAGCCATAAACATACTGTGTTAGTATTGTAATTTAAATGGGGCTAAGACATGTAAGAAGGGGGCTTGAAAATGATGAGTTGTGTTTCTATAGGCACTAAGTATACTTATATATATACAGGTAATGTGTAGTAATCCTAGAATCCTAGAATCCATAAAGACAAGATATAAAAAAATTAACTGATTCAGTAAATTGTAATAATATTTTTTCTTGAAGATGCGTCCTCCTCAATTCCATTTGATAAAATTCTACGGAAAAGTCACAATGTACTATCAGAAAGATGCATCAGTGATCTGAATTTTTACCTTTGACAAAAGTATTTTGAAATAAATTATAGAAGTATGCGAAAAAAAAAAGCAGAAGCAAGTCGTGTACACCTTTTACATTCCGGCGTGTTTGAAACTCTTGTTTTAATCTTATAACTTTTAAAACAAAAATGAGAATATGATCTCGCTTCAGATTCCATTAATTTAATTTTTTCAAACTTAATTTTGTTTTAGTAGCTTTAAGAATTCATCGTTTGAGAGATATTTATATGGGTCAAGTGAAATGACGAATTAATGATCTGTGCATTTCCTTACCGGTAACCGAATTAATTATTCCCTTTAAAGGTTGTTGTCAATAAAATTATCCCAAATTTAATAACAAAATATGTAAAGAATTAAAATAGTAGTTTGTGCTAATATTTAAATAGCATCTTTTCCAACAAAGTTTGTGTATTCAACAAGCCAAAAATTCATGCAGTATATGCTCCCCTCCGTCAGCCTTCAATGCAATAGGCCGAGATACGGTCAGATAGGTTGGTTATGTCGAGTAATGTCATTTTATTGGAAATCTCTAATAGGACGTAACAAATTCAAAATAATCTTAAATTGATCATAAGCTTAAACAAAGACATATTTGTTTTTGAAAGGTTCGAAGAGCAATTACATCTTCTCAGTCATTCAGGTTGCAACCTTTGATATGCATTGAATCATAGATTTTTAATTCAGACTAAACTTTGTTTTATTCGTTAAAACATATTATCTACATCCGAAAACCCGTGACTAACCTTGTTATTACATACAATTAAAGAAAGCCTCTATAAAAGATGTTTGACAAATGATGTTTCAAGTCTTTGGCAAGCAATTCACAAATTCTTGACTTACATCTTGAAATTGAGATTGAGGGTCGATTTAGAACAAAAACTTAAGACAGAAGAGACGATTTCTGCTTTCCAATTATGAACTTTCCATTACGATTTTGCAAAAATTCCAGCAGTGCCTGCATATCGAGTATACATCTCACAGTTGATACGATATTCCAGGGCTTACGTTTCCTTTCGTGATTTTCTTGATAGAGGTTTGCTGCTCACAAAGAAGCTATTAAACCAAGACTTCCTAGTGGTGATGTGAAATTCATTCTTTCGAACATTTTACGGCCGCCATCACGAGTTGGTTGATCGTTATGGTATATCGGTTTCACAGATGACATCGGATATGTTCCAATCGTCGTTATCACAATCCCGTCCCCCTTTCACCGAATGTGACCTACCGACTTAGACTTATCACTGGGTTTGTACTTACACTAGCATCGTCTATGTTGTGGTTTGTATACTGTTGGTTGTCGCATGGTTTTTTTTTTTAACATTGTCCGTCTATTTTCGACTTTGGTATCGGTCGCCCCACTTTCTCAACGAATTGCATAATTAAAATTGCGAATTCTGGAATATCTAATATATAGATTACTTTCATCAGTTATATAAGGCCGCCATTGTTATTCCCTTTCAACGTCCCCCCTCTTCAACATATACATGCAATTAAAACTAAAAAACAAAATATCAGTAAGAAGGCTGCATTAATGCATATTGTTTTTGTCTTTTGAAATAGACTATATGCATTTCCTCAATATGTATGTCTTTGATATAAAATAAACAAAGTCGTTTACTTTAAAACTATTGTCAGTAGTATTAACTTGACTATGGAAATATCACCTAATCTTAAGCTTTGTCAACATCGTTTTTACATATCTCCAAAGATATGAATTAAATAACCCGGAAGTTTATAACCTTTTCAAAACCAATCGATATTTGAAATGTTATACCTACCTGTAAACAAAACCAAATCACAAAATGGCCAAGGCTATTTCTAGAACGTGCGATAAATGTGTCGGAGTACCTGGCGATAATTACTGTGAGCTATGCCAACAGTGGTTTTGTGATGAATGTAAAACATCCCATTTACAAACAATATCGACCAGGAATCACACATTTATTAGAGGTTCAAACACCAAACAGGAAGTTGATACAAGGGAATCAACAATTAGGTAATTCTTTCTTTTTCTAATTGAAGATAAACATTTATTTAAATATATTAACGAGTCAAGCATCAAATGGCTTGTAATGAAGAGATAATTTGAATTCTGTTAAACTAGTCAATTATGAAAATAATTAACTTACATAATCAACAATGAATAATTGTACAAGATGCATATTGTCAGCAAGGGATTCAATACATTCATACATGTGATTGTTTCTGAAACATTATACCTAAAACTGTTTTATGTAGATTTATTCAACACGGTAGATATAGTATGCTTGACTTTAAAATTCCACTGAATGAATACCCACTCTAGAAGTTGGGGTTTGTGTAAATGAATAAGATTAGACATTTAGTGTATTCCAAGGCGACAGTAACCGACGAAAACAAATGAAAAAAAGACCATAAGAGAGTAGGGACAATTTAATAACAAAGTACCAATGAATTAATAGACAGTATGGAAGTTAAAATTGATATACATGTATAAAATGACACATATGGCTTATGCCAAGCGGACATGACCGAACAAATCAAAATAAACAAAATACATCTAATAGTCAACTTACATTGTGTTATAATATACAAGTGTACACACCATATTGATCAGTTGAAACGGTGAACAGCGCCCCGAGTATGGGAACTAACTTTATCAAAAACTCCAAAAGATTGGACATCAGTCTATTTGTAAGAACGATACCACACTCAACTTAAGACAACCACTGATTAAGTGCCCGACTCGAGACAAGATCATACAATGATATATTTAGCACTCTATTATTTCTGGGTCAGTCGCGAATCAAAAGAGTTTAATAACTAGTATGTATAAACAGTAAGAAAACCATTTAATGCATTTATAACGACAGCGTATGTCTGAAAGCAGTCTTAACAGGTTTTGTATGTTTGGAAGTATAGAAATAAGACAATGGTTCACAAACTATAACTAGAAGATGAAAAAATGTTGTTTTTTTTTTCTCAGAAAAGATGCGGACACGCGACTACAAAGAAATGAAAGGTATGTATTCCCATCTTGACCGTCGATGCAAATACCTTAAACATGCTGAAATTTCAATGTGATTGCTACCAATGAGTCGATTCCGTTTCTTGTGGGTAGAAAGTCCTCGAAAGTAAAATCAGCTCACAAGCTCAGTAATTTGGCAGTTACAGAATATTGCGGATATTGTTTTAACTAACTTTTTTTTTCATATCAAACATGTAAAACTTCACATCTGAAATAGTTTTAAATCAAAGTACCGTCATCGAGCATAGCTTTGAAGCTTTTTTCCAGGTTTGGTTATACTTTTTATACCGTATAATATTGTTTTATAGGTAATTTATTGCAGCTTCCATCATCAGTGAAGAAATACTTATTTGATGAAGTTTAAAAGATCAAAATCTACGTCAATATACACATTTCTATCTCAAATATTTATCATTGGTGTTTGGGTTTGTCATAAGAAGCGTTTCGAACCCAACCATTATTAAGTTATGAAAGAAATAGCAATGTTCATGTCCACAAATTTATCTAAAGAGACCTATCGACAGTGTATGCATATGTTACCTTCAATTAGAATATTTAGTAGTTTTGATAACTAGTTCACAATCAAACCTAACAATAGAAGGACTATTTATCTGTTTTTGCGTATCATAAATTGTCGGTGTCTCGTACATCTTTAAGAAACTTAGCACGTACGTTATTATCGGTTTTGAATTATTGGCTTTCGTTTTTAACATATGTACATGCACATTACTATTAAGTTTTTTTTTGGCAGCCATTTCGTCTTGAATTTGTTTAGTTAATTCACTGTGTGTACTGTTGAGGGAAACGACATGTAATGAGCGATCGAGCTTTCTCCTTTTGAATCTTATTAATCGTGTGATATTTATTTTTATAGAGACACATTGACAGCTACCAAATACAAATATAGATGCTGTGATTGCAAGTAAGTGTGATAGCATTTTTACTCAAGAGTATTTTCAAGAGCAATTATCAATATAAAATATAATACTTAAATACAGATATCAATTAAAGATTATTAGATTGAATACATTTTAAAGACAGTAACAGCATGTTATCAGATTTCAGAATATCCAACAGGAAGATATATCAGGCTCTATTTAAGATTGAACATTTACAAGTGAGAATGGGTAAAACAAAATTTCGGGAAATAAATAAATTATATACCACATGAAAATACGGGATGTATAACGCATTTTTTATGGACGATGGAAAAATTTTGAACAAATTTGATTGGCTTTCTTCTAAAAAAAAAATATCTTATTCAAATGTATAGCACTTTGGATTCATATATTAGATTTGATAAAACATTTCCATGTTTGTGATAATTCTTTATATATGATTGTTTTGGTTAGGTCACTTGACAATACCAAGTATCTAATATTATCGAGTATTGAAATTCGTCGTTTTCCCCGAACAGTACATACTCGAAAACTAGTATTCGACGAATATTAAAGATTTTCAATAGTGAGAAGTTGCGTGAAACGTCTTATAAGCCTGTTACTTAAGTTAGGTATTAGTTATGTCGTTTGTCCCGACGTCTATATAATAGACATTGATAATCAAAATAACAAAGCATGTATGCGCATTAAGTGTAAATGCGTTGTTCAATAAGAGGCAGGCTTGTATAAAAGTAAAGTTTTGAGTTCGCTCCGAAGCATAGTTTGTGTGATTATCAGCTACCGAGTTTAATATCATGAAATTATTTGATTTCATACAAACCAAATAAACAAAAAATATGGCAAGTCAGTATGTAAACAATCAACACGAACTAAACAAATAACAAAAACCTGTAGATGCTTTCATTTTAGGCAGCGATTATTTCTTCCAGTATAAGACTTATTTTGATTTGCTAACGAAAAGGAGACTGCAGATAAATTCTTAATTTTTTAAGAGTCCATATGATATTTTTTTTTATATTAAAGTACAGACGGTTTATTTATGGACAACCGAATGATTATGATTGCCAAAACACCTATTTCATATTTTTTTCATTCTCAACGTCTATCTTTTTCCAAACAAATTTATAATAAAAACTAGAAGACTCAAAGGAACCACACGCATATTCCTTTGTACGTTTAAATGCCAAAATGGCATAAAAATGTGATGCTTCAATAATGTATCTTGGTGATGCATCTTATTTTGTTCTAAGGCTTTCTCTTTTTTTTGTGATAGGATTCATAGTCATTTACTTTGTATCTTGTTTAGAATATCGAATATTTCACGAAGTAAATATGTTTTTCAACAGCTTTTTTCTCAAATTTGATTTGAATTTTAAACTTTTAATATTTCCAAAGCAAAATTTGCTTTAATGTTGTGTTCATGATACTGTAATCTGTATCATAACATTGTTTAAATTAAGAAAATCTCTATAATTTTGCACTTATTTTAATTTCAGTACAGAGATTATTTCTGAGTAAGTACCCCTTTATTCAGCAAAATACACGAAAAAGGTATTTAATTTCATTATATCATTCTATAGACACGAAAAACATTAATAATGAATAATTAAAGATCTTTAAAATGCCGCACCTAATGTGGTGTCTAAAATACAAACTACTTTAAAATCAACGAAACAAGCATATTCAAAGAAGGATGAATGCTTATATTCCAGGATAGTTTGTTACTTTTTCTAGGGTTAAGCAGAGGAATTAAACTGCACGTTCGTAAAAAAATCCATAGAGTAGAGGAGTAGACATTTAATTTCATTTGACATAGAAACATTTATAATGTAGCTGAAAGAAGATTGTTCCAAACTAATACAAAAAAGATGTCGCATGATCCTTTATGAATCAACTTATCACCAGAAATAAGTTTACATATATTGTCAATTCGTCTTTTATTTTTAAATTGATTTTATGACACAATTTTAGTGTTTCACCTTTTTTGTTTACTTGATCATTATCATATATTGTATTTTTTCAGAAAAGCAACAGAGTAAGTATATATTAGAGTCTAACAGTACGCCATTTAACAAATATATCACAGCAAAAATAAGAAATGAAGGCATTAAAGATGTTTAGCTATATAGTAAACAATTCTTAACAGTTAAACTTCTAACTAAACATGTATTCCACTTCAGTAAGCAACTATAAAGGTCCACCTTTATACATTGAAATGACATACATCATGTTTTATGTAACCTTGTCACTAAAATAGTCCAGTTGAATGCATAATGGCAGTTTTTTTCTGGACAAAGTGATTTATGTACCAAAAGTAAATACACTAATCCTATATACCAGGATTAAAAGTGTGTACTCCAGACGTGTGTTTCGTCTACAAAAGACGCATCAGTGAAGCTCCAATTAAAAGTTTAAAAGGCCAAAGAATGTACAAAGTTAAAGAGCATTGAGGACCAAAAATATCGAAAAGGTTTTACCAAATATAGCTAATAGGGTGTTCTATTACTGGCGAATTATGACAATATCAAAACATTTCAACGCAAGTGCTGACTACTGGGGATAGGGGATATTCAGTAACTGCGAGTCTTTGTGTATTCCAATGGGAACTAATTGTGCACCCCTACTGGCCGATTTGTTTTTGTACTCGTATGAAGCAGAATTCATTCAGAACCTTCTAAAAGACAAAAAGAAAAAGCACCTTGCGAAATTCTTTAATTTTACTTTCCGATATATTGATGATGTTCTATCATTGAATGACCCACATTTCAGCCAATACTTACATCTCATATATCCCAGTGAACTTGAAATTAAGGATACTACTGATACTAGAAGGACTGCTTCATACCTTGATCTTTTCCTCAATATTGACACAGATGGACGACTTCACACGAAAATCTATGATAAACGGGACGATTTCAACTTCCCAATTATCAATTTCCTATTTCTCAGCAGTAACATTCCATCTGCCCCTTTGTATGGTGTTTACATATCTCAATTGATACGTTATTCTCGTGCTTGTTCACACTATACGGACTTCATATACAGGAGTGTGATCCTTACGCAGAAACAGCTCCAACAAAGTTATGAAGAGGACAGATTGAAAATGACACTCCGTAAATTTTACGGACACCATCACCAATTGGTTGATCCATACGATGTGTCTTTGTCAAAACTAACTAAGGACATTTTTACCAAGTGTTAGATTGTGGTTTGTCATTACGTCGTCTGATCTGTTAATTACCGAACGTGACTTATTCCCGATTGTGACTGTTTTGCTGAGTGTGAAACCGCATTGCTATAAGACGTTTCACGATACCTTTCTATCCCAAATTCATGTATTTAATTTTGATGTTATATTTGTTGTTCTCGTCGGATTTTGTCAAATGTCTTAACGTCTTTTCTGTTATATTCGTGTGTTATGGTAAAGATAATTAATCACCTCCTTCATTTATTAGATTTTAGTTTGGTTCAACGAAATTTATACGATATATTTGGTTTACAGTTTGATTCAGAAGAAACACCAACATAGCTAGATAATACAATTAATTATCTAATTACAACCATTTGATATTAATACGTATTGTAATTTTCATTGTTATTAATAAATGTAATGGCAGTATTACAAATCTAATCTTTAATCAATCCTAATCCTATCTTATTTTTGGGAAATATTTTTACAAATTCATATATGACGTCACTTTGTGTGTTTTTTTTAGAATTTCAAATGTGACGTCACTTTGTGCGTTGAGGCTTGAGCTAACTCGGCTGTGTATTTTTATATGTTGGATTAAGTTGTTTTATGTAATGTATCCGTTTTTATTCTGTACGTAGTCCCCACTTTGGTTTTATCATGTATATCTATTATATAGTCATTTTATAAATATTTACTGTTTGCAAAATTATAAATTATTCTAAATAATAAGGATGTTCTTGTCCCAGGCAGAAAATCCTGGCCGTGTTAGGCGCAACTTTTTGGAAGTTTTGGTCCTCGGTGCTCTTCAGCTTTGTACTTTTTTTGGCTTTCAAACTTTTTTTTATCTGAGCGTCACTGGTTGGTCTTGTGTGGACGAGACGCACGTCTGGCGTATTGAATTTTAAGCCTAGTACCTTCTGCCAGCTATTATTCGTGTGTTTCTTTGTCCTATATGTTCTCCCATTTATTTGTATTGTGGTCCTGTCATGTGATGTTGTCGTTTTGGTGTTGTGTTTGACGTTGCCATAAAAGTGGGAGGTTTGGCATGCCACAAAACCAGGTTCAACCAACCATTTTTTTCTTAAAATGTCCTGTACCAAGTTCGGAAAATGGCCATTGTTATATTATAGTTCGTTTCTGTGTGTGTTACATTTTAATTTTGTGTTTTTGTTGTGTCGTTGTTCTCCTCTTATATTTGATGCGTTTCCCTCAGTTTTAGTTTGTAACATGGATTTGTTTTTATCTCTATCGATTTATGAGTTTTGAACAGCGGTATACTACTGTTGCCTTTATTTGTATCAGTCATTTTGAAATTGGTTGTTGTGCTTATTTGATGGAGAGAGAGAGAGAGAGAGAGAGAGAGAGAGAGAGAGAGAGTAGCTACCGAAATGTCAGTCAAATAAAACAAAGCAAAAAGATGCAAATTAAAATATATCAGAATATAATATTTATATGATTGGTTTGAAGTGTAAACTATAGTTGTTCAATTCAAATCATTTTCCTGTGCAATTACCTAATGCATTACAGTACAATAACATTTTGATAAAACAATGAAAATGTTATATGCACTTTCGTACATTTTGTATACCTTTTTCGTATCGTACCGTTCAGTCATGCATACAGTACATTTCTACGAACGATTGGACATGTTTCGAATTGGGAAAGCTCCTGATTACCAGAAAACATCTAGATGTACAAAATACTAAAATCCTGGAATGTCATCTCAAAGACGAAAAGAAAAAAAAATGTCTTGCAAATTTGATTTATATCACCTTCTGTTATATTGATGATGTCCTTCACTCAATAACCTACATTTCAATAAGTGCTCACACCTCGTATATCTCAGTGAACTTGATTTTAAGAATACTAAATAAAAGTACAAGGTCTGCTAAATCTTCATCTTTTTCTCGTGTTTAACCCAGATGGACGACTACAAACTAGAATCAATGACAAGCGCTATGATTTAAATTTTCCATTTGTCAACTTCTCAATTCTAAGCAGTAGCATACCCTCTGCTCCGTGACATATTTACGCGATCAAAACATACCAATATAGTTGTTTAATATATATAATATTGTATGACCGATTGTTGCATTTTGACCGAATGCAGAGATGTATTGCGATTGATGCATGCATATCAAGGATGGTCACATGCCGACGCACCCTGTTTTGTCCATTTCTTAGGTCATGGGAATCCCATACGTTTTGTTTGTTACCTTAATTGGTATGTATTGAATCGATTTCCAATATCTAACCATGTGTAATCTAGTTTTGCCGTAATTTATTCCCCTTAACGAATGCATTATAAGTATTATGTTAGGTCCGAATTGTAAGCAATGTATGATTAATGTCCAATTGTCTTCAAAGTTGTCTTCAAGTCTCTGAAACAGACCACTTGGCATTTTAAAATTTTTAACTCAGAATATTCAAATTTGTTACTTTGTTAATTGTTTTGCCGAATAATGGTATAGTTCGATCAAATACCAGTTTTGGGTATGTACATCTGGTAAATACATAAATGTACCCAGATATTTTGCAATGCACTTATTATTAGTTCCTTTCTGTTTTTTTTCAGACCTTTCATGTGAGTATATGTTTTGTTTCTTACTAATTATAGTCACAACATGAACTCTAAAGACTAATTGAGATATGATATTGGATGTCATGGATGTTGCGGTCTAGTTAAGGATATCGTGCTAGAAAAGAGTTTAAAAGTCCTTGGTTTTGGCTCAAACAAAATAATCAAAACAACGTCAGTAATAACATAGCATCACTTTTTATCCACTTTACGTTCACCTATATTGGGTGAAATGTATCACCGTTTTACCGAAAATATTATTTGCTTTATAACAAATATCAGCTAAATTCGGGTGGAAAAGTCTACCTTGCCGACAAAATTCATTGTATTGACCTGCTATATATTTGATATGTGTGACATAGATGATTATCAGACCTATATATAAATATAAATCAATTGTTTTAAAAACAATTGTTAACGGTCTTTCCCCTCCGAAACATGATTGATTGATTGATTGATTGATGAATGATTTGATTGATTGATTGATTGATTGATTGACTTATTACACACGTGAGATAGGGTCGCTTGAAACAAGCAAACACGAAAACAATGAGATCTTGGACCCGTATTAAACACAAAGGACCGAAACATGCATGTAATGGCTGGTTGGTTGGTTGGTAGGTAGGTAGGTGGGTTGGTTGGTTGTTTGGTTAAAGACATAGGGCCGAGCGACTAGGACAACGCGAAAAGGGAATTGAGAGTCTAGTGCCCGTGTTTAAAACCTTGAGACCTAGCCTCTAGGAATGCGCGAAAAAGGAATTGAGAGCCTAGTGGCCGTGTTTAAACACTTGGGACCTAGGCTTAAGGAATACGCGAAAAAGGAATTGAGAGCCTAGTTCCCGTGTTTAAACACTTGGGACCTAGGCTTAAGGAATACGCGAAAAAGGAATTGAGAGCCTAGTGGCCGTGTTTAAACACTTGGGACCTAGGCTTAAGGAATACGCGAAAAGGGAATTGAGAGCCTAGTTCCCGTGTTTAAACACTTGGGACCTAGGCTTAAGGAATACGCGAAAAAGGAATTGAAAGCCTAGTGGCCGTGTTTAAACAATTGGGACCTAGGCTTAAAGAATACGCGAAAAGGGAATTGAGAGCCTAGTTCCCGTGTTTAAACGCTTGGGACCTAGGCTTAAGGAATGCGCGAAAAAGGAATTGAGAGCCTAGTTTCCGTGTTTAAACACTTGGGACCTAGGCTTAAGGAATACGCGAAAAAGGAATTGAGAGCCTAGTTCCCGTGTTTAAACACTTGGGACCTAGGCTCTAGGAACCGC